GAGACGTGACATGTTTATTTTCCCCGCGCCAACTTCCACATCAACCGTGTTTTCTTTTTCCATGCTGCAAAAGGGAATATTCATCCTTCCCTCCCCTATCTACCAGCACCCAGCTGGTCCTTCAGCTCCGATTTTTGGCATCCCCAGGTCCCCACGATGCCCCTGACACCCATGGGCAGAGCTGGGTGGGGGTTGATGTTTCTGCTCCCTGGCACGAGCGGTAAAGTGGAAGGGGGAAAAAAAAAACAAATAAATAAAATTGAGAAGCTTGATGTTTTGTGTGACCCAAATCTCAATGTTTCAGGTTGGTTTTAAGCGCTGTCAGATTGCTTGGAGAAAAAAAAAAAAAAAAGGATATTAAGGCAAGGGGATGGGATTTTCAAAAACAAAGACATTGAACGTAAAAAAAAAAAAACAAACCCTGCCACATGGGAAAGTGTCAGCTCCTTTGAAATGTTTGCTTGTCTGCCCGAGCAAAACAGTCAGGGAATTGTTCGCGGCATTGCAAAATATTTAGACTGACCCAAATCCCTGCGTTTTCGCAGCTGAAGGGCCCCCGTTCGCCCCCCCCCCGGGATGCTTGGCCGGACAGGCACCCAGGCAGAGGTGGGTGCTCAGCTGTCGGTGCTGCTTCGCTCCTCGGTTGGTTGTTCTTGGTTTATTTTTTTTTTCCATTATAGACATTATTAAAAAAAATAAACTTTACAATAATACATTTTAAAGTTGTTGTTGCCATTTGAGCATTTTTTTTTTTTAAAATAAAGGAAAAAAGGAAATTAAAAAAGCCACACTGTAGATGTATATGGTTATGTATATACATACATATATGTAGGTATAGGTGAACGGTATATACATACACTATATATGTATATATGAAAGAAAGAAAACAGAGAGGAACATACAGAGGTTTCTGACCACTGATGGGTCAGATCCCATCCCAACCCAAATTTGACTGGACAAAGATTTTAAAAAAAAAGGAAAAAAGAAAAAAGAAAAAGAAAAAAATAAAGAAAACTCTCCCCCTCGAAGTGACAGATTGAAAACATCAGGACAACCTCACAACCTCTGACCAGTAGTTTCGTTTCTCTTCCATTTTCAAACTCTCGCCGACCACAGGAAAGCAACAAAAAACAAAAAAAAACCAACCCCAAACCCCCAGTAATAACATCAAGAGCTCGAGCGAGTCCCCTCGGAGGATGCAGAGAAGCCTCCCGACAGCGCGACCATCCTCCGGGATGCTCCGATGCGGAAACCTCGCCATCCCCGCAACCACCCCAACGCACCCAGGTCGACGGATCCTGCAAAAGGACCTTCACCATCGCTCGTCTCGACGTTTATTTTCCCTCCCCAGTGCCGCTCGCAGCTCCGGATCCCCTATTGCAGGGCACGTGGTGGGGGGGTTTCATTGCAAGCTCCTGCTTTAGAAAAGAAACCCAACGTACCATAAAAGACCCCCCCCCAAAAAAAAAAAAA